ACAGTCAGAACAGCAGATAGGAAAAGAGGACAGAACAGAGGACGGAACACAGGACAGAAAAGGCACAAAATCAAAGAGAAAGCCAATGAAGACAAGGGACAGAAAAGGACAACCAGATAAAGACAACAAAAGTGACTAGAGAAAGTGTAAATCAGGGCCAAAGACATTCAAAATTATGATAACCAGGAAACAGTGGAATAAAATAAAAACAAAACATGGGGGGAGTTCTACATCCCCCTTGGACTGACACATTGTATCATCAGTTCATGGAAAATAATCCATGCTGTACTCTTTCTTTTACATACCAGCATGTGAAAATTAACAACAGTCATAAGATGTCTCCATTTTTTTATGCTGCTGTAAAATGCACCTTTAATGGATGCAATGCAATGTACACTTTAAAAAAAAACAAGGATTCCCAAAGCAGAAGACAAAAACATCTGTTTTTACAGTGAAATGCTTTGGTGAGGTCACACACCATAAGAAACATAGATGATTCAGGCCAGCAAAATACCTGAGAAGACGTAAGATTGGCAAAGCTTTGGCAGGTGGTGTCAGCCATTACTATTACTCGATGTTGAAGCCAATATCCACTCAACAAATTATGGCCAGGAACATAATAAAAAGCCTAACCAAAGATGTACTGAAACAAATATCGTCTGAGTTGAATAAGAGTACAAGGCTCCATGATGACATTATGGTTGAACTCATGTTAACTCAAAAAGTAACTAAAGAAACAAGTTCTCAAGCATCATCAAAGGGTTACTTTCAGCACCCCCAAATTGATCCATTTGCAGTACACCTATACACAGACACTGGATTAAGGATTTTGGCACAACATCTAAGGCAGTCATCACCCGTTACCCTCCACCTTGATGCAACAGGCAGCGTTGTCCAGAAAATCTCTGAGCAAGACAAGCAAGTTCTGTGTTATGCTTTAGTTTTGCCGGGCATGGGCAAGGATAAACCACCTTTGCCTGTAACAGAACTGATCACCAACAGCCATAGTATTCCTTCCATTTCTCATTGGCTAATGGAATTCAAAAGGAAACTGTCACAAATGACAAAACTACAAATTGCACAGGTTGAGACAGACTACAGTTGGGCTCTGATTAATAACGTGCTTATATCTATCAACAAGGAAGATATTTCTATGTACCTTGCCAGAGCATTTAACATTGTGCATGGACGCACTGCTGGTATGACAAACTTTACTGTGTTGCATCTGTGCTCTGCCCATGTAGTTAAGACTGTGACACAAGCATTTGGCAGAAAAACATCAGACCGAGGCATACAGGAGTATGCAACATTCTGCTTTGCATACCTACTCAACTGCCAAAGGATGCAGCTCGTCATGGAGGTACTCTTTGATGCAAAAGAATGTACCCATTTGGTAAAAACAAGCCAAACCTACCTCGACAGCTGCATTTCGGAAAACAAGAAAAACGAGGATAAAGAAAGTCAAAATGTATCATAAGCCGAGGAAGTGATCACTGAAAAAGTAACAGCATTGTTGAAAAGTCACCCTTTACACATACATTTCAAGTGATATGGGACCAAGCAGAGTGTGACTTTCTGTCAGTGAATGTTAAAAACCACTTCTTTTGTCCTGGTATAATTGATGTTCTGCTGAAAAACTACATGGGATCATCCCACTGTGGAGTGGTTTATTGCTTGGAGGTCTGACTCGACATGAGACACCAACAACTGGTGAAACAAATAAAACTTGCAAAACCAGAGAAACCAACTGCCATGTGGAGCTATAGTTTGGTTTGGTGAAATGAAATATCCTGGCAAAGAAGAAGTATCTCAGACCAGCAGAGTTCATCTCCAAAGTGTTTTCCTCTTTACAAAGACGATATGTAGAGCACATTATGCAGCATGGTCTTCCAATGGAATTTCTTGACGAAGAATTCACAGTTTGTAACAAACCTGTAGATGATCATGAAGAGAAATGGAAGAAGAGGGAAAGTTCTGCTGGTCAATCTAAGTCCAAGTCCAAGTACTTCAATCCCCCGAAGAGAATACCAATTCATTAACCTTCACAACGCAAAAAAGCAAAGTTTAAAGGAGCAAATGCCGATCAGCATAATAAAGAATCACAGGTAAATATGGTTTCACCTTTGAGGCACTATTTTTGTTAGACTTTTGTTAAAACTATTTTTCCAAAGAAAACTACTACTATACTTATATAATCAAAAAAAAAAAAAAGTTTTACCTAAATTTTAAAGAAGTTGCATGAGATGTGGCTGGCATAAGATCCCATTCGTCCACATCAGTGGTTGAATGGGGAGGTATCCCAGGGAGCATCCATGGGTGGGCCCCGCATGGGTTTATTGTGGACTACATGGGTAATGAGTGGGCATGGGAATTAGCTGGGCTAACTGCATGAGGCTCATATGGTTAACCTAAAATGGGACCTATATTGTTTTCCATTATTTATCCCATGTGGGGCTACCTATGTATGCTGGCTGGGTTGGAAGCTATTGAAGAAAAATCACAATTTTGGACAAACAAAATTCCTGAAAAATGTAAAAAGACTTAAAATGGAATAAATAATCGAGTGTTTCTCATCTATCCAGTCTAGTAGAACAGTTTCAGACAGATTATATCTCAGTGGGTCACATGACTTGGAAGCTATTAAAGAAAAATGCTTATTTTTGACCAAAAAAATCCAAAACATTATAAAAAGGCTTAAAATTGAATAAAAAATGAGTGTGTCTCATTTATCTAGTAGCATGATTTACCATGGTTTTTGTTTCAGTTGGTCACAAGACAAGGAATTTATTTATTTTTATTTCCCAAGAGTGTTGCCAGTGAACCACTGTGCCTCAGAAGAGGGAGCAACAGAGAGCAGCTAGCCGAAATCTGAGTTCCTGAATCGGATCAACCGTGAGCTAGATGCCACTAACTATGCGGAGCTTGAATATCCAATATCCAACTTCAAACTAACTTCACCGCGGTAGAATACGAGGGGTGAATGAGCAGTGCCAGGGCTGTAGCAACCTGAAACTTTAGGTTGGTATAATAAAAAAAAAACTAAGACATGCATATGTGACATTACAATTAGACCTGTTTCTGCCTGAACAATAAATGCTCACTGTGTCGCCAATTATTAGGGAAGCTGTATTTTTGGGGATCAATGTTCTTTTTGAACAACTCCAGTGCTGTCAGTCAACCCAACATGTTAATACACCTCAGACCAGGAGTCCATGATCTCATTCTTTCATTGTTAAGGCCTTTACAGGCTAGCCACGCAGATGCATTTTATGGAATGAAAAATCATGGTATTCTGGAAGGATTCTGACTTTTTCTTGTACATAAAACTGGCCTTACTTTTGGAAGTTGAGTCTGAGTCCATTTCCAACCTTAAAAGGTTCAACTAGTTATCCTTATTAATACCAGTCCACACTAGTACCCGACCTACACCTTGTTCACATTTGATTCAATCTGGAGGTCTGTGCTCTTTATTGACCCAGCCTCGGGCCCCGTCCATCTGGGCCGTCAAGGGTCACTCCCATCTAATCAGTTCATAAAATTTGTCTTTAGACATTTTTTGGCCCAGTCCTGATGTTTCAACTTATTGGCCATGTCTCTGAGCTCTGAACACGTTGTGGACTGATGAGAACTGCAGGTAGGTTGGAGTTTTGGAATATGAAGGCGCTGGAGAATGGGTTTCTGCTAGTTTTACATCTTCTAAATTCTTTGGCAGATAATTAGCATTTCTTTCCTAATGCCTTTTCTGCCACTTATTTTACTATTTGCAACAAAACATTTGATGGTTTTCTGATCATGCTCCAATATTTTGAAAATGTCTTGAGTGCTGCCACCCTGTGAAAGACCTTTTACAATTTTGGATTTTTTATTGGGAATTTTGCCTGAGTTACTAGAGGCTGTCTAATTATTATGCACCCTTTGATATAGGATATTGATATCTATAGAACACACACTCTTTCTCATTAGACATTAACACATCACCTGACATGCTTAATTCCAGTAAGCATTCGAGTTTATGCAGTTTGATGATATGGTGAAAATGCTTTTTTGCCCAGCAATGTACATACACACATTTTATGCATGTACCATGTTACTGTTTAACACATCAGTTTATTTACTTTCTGAAGATCTAGAAAATTAGGTCTCATTGGCTATTTTTCCAAATCATTCCAAATCCTCATGTTTTGTTTTTTTTTTTTTTTTTCATATTACCTTTATTAAAGGTAAAAGGGTTTATTCCACACAGGTTAGAACATATTCTTTTTAATTTCCTAAAATATATTTCAATTCCTATTTTTTTATTTGGCTTCATTTAACCGTACGATAAATCAAATAATAGTAAAGACAATATTAACCTAAAAAAAGCCAATTTTGTCCATTTACAAAAGAGAATACTGTAAACATTACATTAAACATTGGTGAATGGTAAATGGCCTGCACTAGTATAGCGCTATGTAAATATGTATACAGTATTTTTACAAAAGAAGACAAGCTTGAATTAGTGCAAATATGCATTGTATCGATCTGGGCACCTTGGGACTGTTAAGTGTTCATCGGAGAAACAGCCTTGGGGCACAAACTATCTCTGTGGTGGCTCCTTTTTGCAGATAGAGCTTTGTAGCAGTTGTGTGGGGTCTGCAGAGACATTGGCTTTATTTTTCTGACACTAGACCTGTACAAGTCCTGAATGGAGGGAAGGTCAGTACTGGTGATCTGCTCTGCAGACCCGATCGTTGGATGTAACTGAATATTACTGGCAAGTATCTTCTGCTTGGGAACTTGTTGGATTTCTCTATCTGCTGGACACTGTAGATATTTCACCTTTGCAGAAACACCAGTGACATTATCAAAGCCTGGCTAATGGCAAAGCTTCTTTGGGAGATAAGGAGCGCTTCCGTTTGACCCTGAAACACACCTTAGTCGTGTGGCGTCATCGGCCTACATCTTAGCTAAAAACAAAAATAACGCTGTAGCAGTCGCACCAAATAAAACAAACAAAAGACTGTGATGGCCAGGAATCAAACCTGGATCAACTGCTTGGAAGGAAGCTATGCTCACCACTATACCACCATCACACATAAATCCTCCTTCCTGGGGCATGTGTTTGCCGGAGACTGTAAGTTCTGACTGTCTCATCAGTTAGGACAAGGCACGACAACTTCCATTTCTATCAACTGTACATTTTCTGCCTAGGTTGTTGTCTCTATTTTTATGATGTGAAGCAAAATTAGATTAGAAAACATCTAGACTTTTCTGCCACCAAATCACTCAGACCTTATTTAAACATGGTCAAAGAGACTATATTAATTTTGCTTTTAGGAACAAAATTAACATAAGTGTGAAATATATCAAATATGATGATTCTTATCAACCTCTTCATTATGCCTTCTTACCGCAACGCGGTGTCCATCACACAGCTGCGCCACTATGCTAATCTTTCTGAGAACCGCACCTGTGACACAGTTTTCCATGTGAACTCTTGGTTGTTAATGCTTCTCAATGCGGTTGGAAAGATGCTTCAAGTTGGTTTGTCCTGACTGTGTCCACGTTTAATCACATTTGGCACTTTTAAAAAGAATGCAGGGAACAGAAAAAACAGAAAAGTGCATTGGCTATTCCACAGCCGGTCAGCCATGTCTTCCGCTCAAACCAACTCTTGCAAAAACTCTGATTGTAGACTTTATTTTTCTCCTTGGTCTGCTGGTTAATGATATTGTCGGGCTTGTCGGGTCCCAGCTCCTTAACTTGGATTTTCTTCTCATCTGTAATTCTTGCGAACGGGTAGATAAAAGGATCTCACTTAAGTGGAAGCTGCACCCCACTTGTTAAGTTCGCCATCATCCCCCTGGTTGACTGTGCCGCACAAGCGTTTCTTCTTTACCTGTGAGGGGCGATATTTTCAGTGCCCCAAGGCCATGAAATTCTGTAACACTGATTGGCCATATATATTTATTCATTTGCCCTAGCAACTGCACACGATTGGCTATGGGACTGCACCGCTGGGGCACTCTGAACAGTGCCCCATGATAGAAATGTACAAGTCTGTCTGTGGGAAACAGTAGGTGAGAAATGTAGTATATATATATATATATATATATATATATTACATTTCCCCCTCTTTTATCAGGGAGGGTGGCGCCCCAGCGCCCCCTATGGACTGCCACCACTGCTTATTGGCTATATTTCCAAATCATCCCACATGACTTCTTTCCCCCTTTATTATTACCTTGATTAAAATGGTAAATGGCCTGAACTTAGCGCTTTGCCATCTCCCCGGACACCCCAAAGCGCACTACACTACATTCAGTCATCCCCCCATTCATACACACATTCACATGCTGACAGTGGTGAGCTACATTGTAGCCACAGCTGCCTTGGGGCAGACTGACAGAAGTGAGGCGGCCATGCAATCGGTGCATGGCCGATTGCATGGGCGTTTGAACTGGCAACCCACCGGTTACACGAAGAATCCTTAACAACCATCAGTTTGTGATCCTTACGTGTTGCTACAGATACAGTATAGCTAAATAGTACAACCTTTCAATTCTTCTCTGTGGATTTGAAATTGACCTAATTATTTCAGCAGAGATTGGCACACATCTTGGCACAGGTGCAATAACAGCTGCATTCCGCTTAAGCAATGACATGTTTTCTGCTAGTTCATTGTCACTAAACACAACACTAAATGGAACTCATCTATCATCTACTCTGACATAAGATACGGCAAATAATCAGCTGTGACAAAAGGCCAAGGACCAACTCCAGCTAGACTGAGTCATGGAAATGCCTCCTAACAAGGATTTTAACACTGTACGAGTCCTGTGTGTGTGGATGAACAGTTCCAGCAACCGTTTCTAAATGAGGCAACAAATGATGAATGTGCTCTTTAAATGCAGAGTAGGATCATCATCACTTTAACTCTGATCAATGGTCCACTGTTACAGCAACCCAATAGTGACTGGTTTCCTGTCATAAATGTTACTTACAGTGTTGCAGGAGGTCTTTATTCTGTTATGTCAACAGGTGCTACTGATTCCACATGTGTACATTCACAGCTTACCTTCATGTACTCCCAAAAAAAAGAAATTTGCGTTTTCAGACTGAAAGGATACCTTGCTAACTGTTGAACCGCTTGATTCACATCAAGGCTAAATCTAAAAGCCCCTATAATTCTATACCAGCTTAATCACTGCAGGGACATAGCAGGCTAAAGCTAATGGGCAAAGGTGGTATAGATGGCCAGTCTATCTGAAATATTGTTCTAAAATGTAGTCTTCTATTCACAATGCTGTAGGTGCAGAAATGTATTAGGTGTTTGTTCAGGAATCCACTAAGAGATATAGATGTAGACGTTTATGTTCAACATAGAACCAGAACGATAAGCTTTTTGCTATGATTTAGTAGTTTTAAGCAGACTATGCTATAAGGACTGTGCTATAAACTGAGAGCAAAGGTTCGAAGCCCTGTCTGAGGTTTGGACAAGACTTTTCAGCAACAAGATGGTTTTTAGTCAAAGCAGCTTAGCTGCAACATGGGGAGATTTTAACACCTGTTCCAAGATGATGTCCTGTGAAAGTCAGCTATGACTATATGTCTTAAACAAAACCCCTCATGATGAGACAAGACAGTTAGGAGACAGGGACTTTCTAGCTCCAAATTATTGCAAAACTCATTTTGTCACTTCTCTCTGAAAAAGACTGGAAGCAAACAGGAGTAGGAGCTGTTTGTTCGAAAACATTTTCTCACAATGAGATCTGAATGCTTTATTATCCTATTTTTAACACTAATAACATTTTTTCTGTTGTAAATGTTAAGGCAAGGAAACTCTAAAATTATGAACACATTAAAGCTAAACATCATCAGGGGATAAATCCTGGAAAAACTGGAATTTTAAAAATATTTTATAAGTAGCAAAAGACAGTGTAGACAGAATGAATGAAAATTGCACAGAGTACTCCTAGGGTGAAATCTTCCAAACAAACCAATTTCACAGAAATGCAGCTTTAGCATTTATAGAGACTTAAAGAGATCACAGATCATCTTACACATCTGAGGGTGTGTTTTTTCATGTTAGTTTTGCTGAATAGCTGCAGAAAATCTGTAAAGGTAACCTGTGATTTGTTAGGGCGTTTAGTTTTAAGTACTTAATCATATTTCCTTTTTGTTTTAAACCTTCTCATTCTATATTATGTTGTTTCTAACTGTGGGAATGGAGTGGGGAGTTAGTTTTAAAAATCTTTACCACAAATTTGCTGATGCAAAGATTGAGTGGTCATGAACACAAGGCAGACTCCAGCTGCCTTAAGCTTAAGGGCAGTTTGCCGGTCTTTCTTCTCCACCTCCTGCTTCTTGGGTTCTTCTTTCTCTTCCCGAATCTCAGCCTTGAACAAGCTGCCCTGAGACAGAGCCTGGACCTTGGCTTCAAACATGTCTTTGGCCCCCAACACCCCTTCAGTGGAGATGTTTATCTCGAATAGCCTCACAAGAGCCATCAAATCCCTTTTCTCCTGCATGTCACCGACTGCAGCTCTGCAGAAAATCCTCAAAACCTCTCTAAAGCTCAGTTTGCCATCAAAGTCCTCATCTACTTCTTTGATCATGTTCTTGAGACCCAGATAAGTCTGTGGATCTCCCAACTTCTCCATCACCAGCATTAGCTCCATTAGGTCAATGAAGCCATCTTTTCCAGTGCCATAATAACTCAGTGTAAGGGTTGAAGACACTGGTCACTTGAGAAGGAGCATTTCCTATGGTAAGAAACTTGTGCCATCAGAAACTGAATTTGAATTGCTCAGACTGAATTTGTATTTGTGTAATTTGAAATTAAATGCATCTGTTTGAAAAGGAATTTCACAAATTGAAACTGAATTTTATGGTTTGAAACTGAATTCATTTGCTTTTAAAATGTATTTTGTTGTATTAAAAATTCAGTTTGACTACTTTCACTTTCAGGTCTGTAATTCAATTTCAGTTCCAAAATTCAGT